ATAAGTTTGATTATTTTACACACTAAGATGTGTAAGTTTATTACCAAAGTTGATTCTTACACTAATGCTAGTGTGAGTTTGTTAGACAGTCTAATAGTTTACACATTATTTTGTGTAAGTTTGTTAGTAAAGTTGTTATCTTACACATTATTTTGTGTAAGTAGGTCAGCAAGTTGGTTACTTTACACACTAGTTTGTGTGTGAATGAATTGATGAGGTAGAAAGGAAATATCACAAAAGTACATCAACTAAAAGTATTAAGAAAAGTTTTTGAGATTTTAAGTATTTATTTGCCTTTAAACGAGTTTTTAAATTTTTCGTACCTAAGTTTCGAGGACAAAACTTCTTTTAAGGGGGGTAGACTGTAATACCCCGTATTTTTATGTATTTTTATAAAGTATTTAAGTATTAATAAAATGTATTGTCAAGGGCTCAAGTATTTTAATTAAATATTTTACAGGGTTAAAGTATTTTAAATATAAAGTTTTATAAAAGTAAAATATGTTTTGGGCCAAACGTTTATTAATTATTGGGCAATGTAAATTATTCCTACATACTCTTATTGAAATAACCCATTCCAAAACCCATAACTTAAGCCTTATCCCATAACTCAAGCCCACATTTTTATAAGCTCAAATTTAACCCTACACTCTCTACTCTATAAATACCCCATGAATCCCCAAAAGTTTTTTACACAAAAAGGTTAGTCTTATTTTCTCTCTCCTTTGTTTTATTAATTTGTGTAATTATAATTATAATTTAAGGATTTTTTGTAAATAACCACCCCAAAATGTACCCTCTATTGAACTAACCACCCATTTTTTTTAAAATTAAAAATTACCACCCATTAATGTCAAAACAAGTAGATTTCACCACCCTTCTTCAATTCCGGCCAGTTTTTCGACTTAGGGTACATGTGTCACCACTTAATTGCTCAAAAATAAAATTTTAAAATTCCCCTTAAAGTTCCCCCATCTCCTTTCACCCCACCGAAATCAACCACTTGCTGGACTACCCTCTATGAGCTTCGGAATCTTTGGCGGCGCGGTGGGCTGACTACCCGCACGCGTCGTTCCTTAAGGTCCTATCAACACCATTACTCCCACCGGTGAACCTCACCAAGTCCCAACCCTTGATCGCAAAACCCCACCTAGTCCCCACCCCAAACCCCTACCCATGTCGCCGCTTCCTCACGAAACCCCACCTACTTTGCCGCTTCCCCACAATACCCCTACCCACATCGTCGTTTCTTCTCGAAACCCCCACGTTGATGTTACCTTGCCTACCTCTGCTCACAAGGTTGCACTCTTCAATTTTATTTTACTTTTTTAAAATTAATTTTCTGTTTTTTTAGGGTTATGATTTGTTGGTTTGATAAGATTCTTGAATTAATTCAACCAACAATGGTTTTGAAGCATGTACAAAACTTCTGAAATTTTCAAGTGATTTTGTAATTGATTGAAGAAGAGAGAGAAAGAGGAAGAAGAGAAGATTTAGAGAGTTGCTGATTTCTTTAAAAATATGGGTTGACAGTGGTGACGATGTGACGGTGGTTGTGATAGTTGTGGTAGGATTGAGGAGTGGATGAGATTGCTGGAATGGAGATGGTAAATGGAAGGGGTGCCGGAAACGGAAATGGGGAAGGGGATGGGTTGCCGGAGATGGCAGCAGTGGGCTTGGATTTTTTTAAGATTTAATTTTTATTTTATATTTTGTGGGTCCCTAAGCCGGAAAACAAGCCAGATTAAGTTGAAAACTGGCCGGAATTGAAGAAGGGTGGTGAAATCTACTAGTTTTGACATTAATGGGTGGTATTTTTTAATTACGAAAAAATGGGTGGTTAGTTCAATACAAGTTACATTTTGGGGTGGTTATTTACAAATTGATGATTAAACTTTATAATTTTCAGATTTTGTAAATTTTATAACCTAGGGTTTTTAATTATTGAAAATCATGATTTTAGGGTTTTTATGAATAATTGATTTAGGGCTTTTATAGTAATGATGTTTTGAAATTTTGGTGATTATAACTACTTATTAGTTTAACTTAATTCCAGATTATTTTGCACACGTAAATTCATGTTTTAATTATTGGATTTCCGTTCGTTAATAATAATCCCGATCAGAATCTGAACTCCTCTAATTTTGATAAAAAAAAAAACAAAGTAGTGTTTTTCGTGTGGAAACAATGTTTTAAGAAAAACTCACTACCCTTGGTAGTGAGTATTACCCTCTCGTGTCCAAATTAAGCCTCTAAATATGATTTTCGGGCAGTTTTGTATTTTTAACGAAGTTTTTTTTTTTTTTATGTTTTAAATTTTATCCTTGAGTTTAAAGGGTAAGAGATAATTTAAGGTTCTATGGATAATTTAAGTATAAAGATGTATTTTGATGAAGTTTTAAAGGATTTTTGATTAGTTTAAAATGTTGGACTTTTATTTAAAGTAGTATAATTGTGATTTTTAATAAAAGGTTGTGATTATCTATTAAAAAGGAGTTTACTTAGGGGTTTTTAAATAATTTTCAGATCATTATAAGTTATTTAAAGTGAGTTTAAGTTGTTGGAAATTGTGTATACAAGGGTAATTAATATAGTATTATTGTCCCTTTATGTAGCAGACTTGGTTCGAGAATTGTTGTTGGCTAGCTTATTTTAAGAGCTTATTTGAGGTACGTTCACGTACTTAGCACATTTTGATGATGTAGAATCATGCTAGGCATGATTTCAATCAATAACAAGTAGTATCATGCTAAGGTTTATGTATGGAATTGTGAATTAATGGTGTTAGTTGGTGATTGAATTGTGAAGCATGAATTATTTGTGATGGTTTATGGATTGAAAAATTATATTTTGGGCATGTTGTGTTTGAACCACACTTTTATTTATGACATGTTAGAATGCATGATTAAATAAAACTACATGTTTAATTATGTTAGGAATATTGAAAAGGAATTTTATTATGATTCAAATAAATTTTTAATGATGCTATAAGCATGAGGAAGGAGCTATATAAGTGTCTATGTACATGAGGAATAAATTGTATGTTGGTGTCTTTGTGCACTTAAGGTGTTTTTAACACCGAGGGATAGGATTTTTGGCACTTTATGCGTTTAAGGTGTCTTTGACACTGAGGTTGAATTAAAAGGCGGGGTTCAACATTAAATAATATGTGGTCACTAATTATTCAATAATTAAATTGGTATGTTTGGTTGATTGAATACTTATTTTTGATTGATTTATTATGCTTTGAGAGTCATCACCAAGTCCAATAACGCGTAAATAACGTAAAGTGAAAGAGATTACGCACCAAAACTCTTGGAACGTATATACCTTGAGTATGAACAATGGGGGGAGTTATGAGGTTTTATATTTAACCATAACTTCTAATGGAGTACCGAACGCTGTACATTCCTTTTTATTTATTATTATGCGCAGGAATTCTGCCACCTTTGAGTGGTTTTGTCGCTGGCACGGTTAGCTCCCGTGTCAGTTAACCTCAATTTATTTGGGGGAGGTATAGTTGGAAACCCGTTCGATGCGTAATCAACGCTAAATGAATTATTTAGTGTCTAGTTAATGTGTCTTGTTGATTGTTGTGTGTGCTTGTAAACAGGTGCAATGAGGTAAGTGTGTGTTGATAGGTGAAAGCATGTTAGTGTGTTTAATTATGCTTATATACTCAGCTTTGCTGATTGTGTGTGTTTGTGTGTTTGGCATGTCTTTTCTTTGGTCCTACGACGACCCATTTTCTAATGGCGAGTAGTGGGGACAAGTAGAGAGGAGGTTTTCAGGTGATGAAGCATATTCATGAATGGGCATGAGTGAAGAGCGAATCATGCTAGTTTCTATAAGTATATGATGTGTTTAATGCTTTAATTATTTATGATATTATTATCATGCATGACTAACGCAAAAGTTTTAAAGTTGTTTTGGTTTTAATAAGGGCCTACAATGGTTCCAAGTTGTAGGATGGTTTTATTTTACTTCGTTTGACTTTGGTTTTGACTTTACTTTCGTTGGTTGACTTTTCAAGTTGACTTGTTTTGAATGGTTTTGAAATTAGTCTTCCGCTGTGTGTCTTTGATGGTTGCCTTAGCCGTTTTCACGGTGGCGGTAATATCTTAGATATTCCTATTTAAATTTTTAAACAGGGCAAAACAGGTATTTAAAAGAAAGGAATTTCTAGGGTGTTACACCTACTTTCCTTGTCCCTAATCGTATTATGTCAATTCCCACTTCCTATGAGTGTCAAGCATAATCACCACATGCCTAACGTAGGTGCACTTCGAACGACGCCTACAACTTCGAACTATGAAAAAATGAACATTATTACACAAATGACTATAAATTATTAAATAGATGTGAATGAGCATTTGTATTAATTATCTATTAATGTGTAAATGAAAGTTTTTTTTAAAAAAATGAAATAATAATAATAATAATAATAATAATAATAATAATAATAATAATAATAATAATAATAAACATGTGAATGATAGTTTACTAATGTATAAATGAGCGGAAATTAACATTCATCAAAAGAAAAAATTCACTACGAAATAATTTTACTAATACTTACGTTTTTCCAGAATCCTTGTTTTCCTTCTCTGGAACTGTTTTTTTCGTTGTACAAAAAAGAAATATGAAGAATGTACTGATTTGATTTACTAGTTTTTGAACAAAAATTACTAAAAGTATAGTAAATACTTACATTGATGCATTTTTCGTAGTTGATGTTTCAATTATTGTTTTAAAATACAATCACAACAAAAAAAAAAAAAAAAGTAAAACCTAGGTTTCATACTCTTTTTTGAACCAAATCTGAATAAAACAATTTATTCTTTCGAATTTAAATCTTGTTTTGTTGAATTTTGTAGTGATTGAACAATTTTACATTGAAAATTTGTCTCAACTTCGTAGAAATTTTGGGTTTGAAAAAGTAGATAAATGAGTTTAGAGAGAGAAAATGCGAAAAATGGGTGTAGAGAGAGAAAATGGGTAAAAGGAGAGAAAATATAATGATATTTTGATTTGAATTTTTTTTTTTTTTGTTTTTAAACTTTTTTTTTTTAATATCTATAATTGGGTAAAAAGTGTTGTTACTATGCAGTTACTACACAATTACAGAATGTGGGGTTGTTGGATTTGTTTATGCATTGTTTAGGGGTGGGGGTGTAGGAATAGCCACCTACACTAGAGTCTAGGAGCATAGGATGCTAATTGTTATTACATGAACGATGGACACCTCCACTTCCGGATGCTAGGGCCCAGCCCGGCCCAAATTTTGATTTTCAACCAAAAATGGCGTAAATCGTTAACAACGAGGCACGATATTGATCATCAGCAATTCCACCTAATCTGTTTCAATTGAACTCTACAAAATCACAACAAAATTTACAGAAATAAATTTCCATAGTTTACATGATACTCTTATACAAATGGAAATCACACTGCACTCATCATCTTCTTCAATTTTCCAATTAACCCCATCTTTTTCCTCGTATAATCACCTCAAATCTTCTACTATTTCATTTAGAATTTCAAATTTCTCCAAATCCTCCATTTCTTGCTCCGCATCTTCAAAGGTTCGTCTTCTTTTAATTCTCTCGGCTTTGATTTTCATGTTTTAGGTAATACTAAAATTAGGGTTCTAACTTCTAATCATGAAAGTTGGAATTATATATATATATATATATATATATATATATATATATATATATATATATATATATATATATATATATATATATATATATATATATATATATATATATATATATATATAATTGTTGTACATTACTAATCGAATTGATCATTGAAAACTCGCCATTGAATGTGTTAATCAATTCATAAAGCAATTGATATGGTATTGAGATTGATTGGCTATTTGGCAGGCAGCTTCATGCTCAGCAAGTGACAGAGAACGGCGAATTAATAGTGTAGAATCTCATTATTGTTATGATAAAGCTGTTCCCGAACAGATAATCGAGAAGCCGGTTGGCTTATCGGTCGTTGAGAAAGAAATAGGCGATCAACCTCGGTGTGATGATTGCCAAACTAAAGGTGCCGTGCTTTGTTCAACCTGTGGTGGTTCCGGCTTGTACGTTGATTCGATATTAGAGTGTCAAGGGATCATGCTTAAAGTTCGATGCCTAGGTAACACTCTTCTATTGTCTGACACATTAATTTAATTAGCGTGAATTGCTGAATGCATTGCGTTTCTGGGTTGCCAATGAAATATAATCTAAAGCGTGTAATTTTGATTGTTTTTTACTAATGGATGCATCTAATGATCTAAAGCATGGTAATTGTAATCCATTTCTTGTCATTGATGTCAAAATGTCAGTTCATGAGAAATTTGATATATTTTTAATTGTGTATATGAGCAAGGTTTATAATTTCTAGTAAAGGGTATGTGAGCGTAGGTACATACTGTAGTTACTTTCTTGTCTATTTGGGTGTCAAGGTGAAAGTGGGGTTGCATTTCTTATCAAGTATTTTGATGATGCCTGATTTATTGGTTTTCTGGTTTTTAGGAAGATATCTATTAAGGACAACACTTAAAGGAAAAATATAAAATGAAATCTTCGTTTTATTTTATCAAACTGTTATTTTGCCCCTATCTCTAAAGAGTGAAGGGACAATTTCCTGATGAGCTGTTTACTTCGTAGGTTGTGGAGGTACAGGCAATATCCTATGCTCTGAATGTGGTGGCAGAGGCCATTTATAAGCTGCTAGCTACATCAGTATTGGTGTCTGATTGATTTGGTCCTGTAAACTTGTATCAGGTCTGTTGTGGCTATTTTAATGCCCTAAATATTACTTGTGACAAAATTTCTGATAATTTAATACAAAGTATTTATTTTCCTGTCCACCTTCTTTGTTTTCGATTATTTTGTGGTTTCAACTTCTATTCAAATACTTTCAGATAAACTTTAGTTGTGCTGTTTATGAATTGTCTTTCCTGTGTATTCATGACAACATTTCTCTGTAACTCTATACGTTCGAATGGTTGAACTGACCATCTCTACACTGCACCAGTCTAGTAGCAAGCATGCAAGGGCTTGATTTAAGATACGACAATTTCCACTTTTACATTTAATTTTACAAAACAATACCTGCTGTTTCAGAATCTGACTTTAAGCTTTTGACATGTTTACATTATAATCTGGCTCTTTTATCTCTGTATCAAGTATCAACTGTGTGTACATAGTGTGAAAAACAGAGCTTAAAAGATAATGAATATCTGTCACTGAAGTACACTTGATTTCTGTCACATATCCTTTTTGTCTTTAACAGTATGTTTGGGAACAGGGCTTTATTGAAGAAATAGGAGTGGAAAGTAAATAAATGTTACAGAGTAGAATTCTTTAGTGTTACAATGTTTGGTTGTTGAAAAGGAAAGGTATGCTTGTATAGGAAAGTGAAATGCGGGGGTACTTCTGGTATTGCCTCCTCGGCCCTTCATGCCGAGGGTCTTGCTTGCCTTTCTGCTTTGGTCTTGGGCCCGAGAAAATAGATATATATCCATACAGCTATTTACAGATTCTACTATGATGATCAACTCACTATGCAAAGAAGGGGCTTTATCAATGGACCTCTTCTGGATAGTTAAGGAAATCCGAAGGATAGGTAAATCTTTTCAACATTGTGTAATCCTAAAAGTCGGGAGAGAAGATGTTCATCGACCTCACAAGCTTGCAAACCAATGTCGACAAACGGGTTCATGTTTTGCTACCTCCATTCCTTTTGATGTTTTTTAATTTTTTTTTTTTAAAGATATTTTTATATTTTTTCCTTGCTGTTTTCTGCTGTTGTCAAAAAAAAAAAAAGAAAAAAAAAAGAAAGTGAAATGATTAAATGTTGGTAAAATTTCTAATTATGTCTCTTATATATTTTTTTCTCATAGATTTACTTTCAAAATTGATATAAACGCCGGATAAATAAGCAGATTAGAAATATAACTTTAGTACTATCATACGGAGTACTTTATTTTACATAAAATAGGAAAAGGGGAATATTTGAAATCTAGCACTGAAGTAAAAAACAATTCATAAATAGTTTTGTCTTATTTTTTTTGGGAAAACATTAGCCATAATTGCATAAATCAAGGGAGTAATTTTTGTACTTAGAGTCATTTCATTTATTCACAATCAATTAATCTGAGCAATCAGAATTTATTATGTATAAAATAGAAAATAAAAACAAAGTTAAAAGTAATACATTCAATATGGGTAGATCTTTTTGAAATGCCCAAAATAGTATATAGGACTAACAAATTGAAACGGAGTAATATATTTATGTTGTTTATATTTTCACAAATTTCTATATATTTACTTTTCCTCATATTTCTGACTTAAATTGATTCCCAAGCTTGAATTAGTTTATTGCTCCCAAATATGAATATATTGTTTGATGGGTGCTAGAATGGTCGCACATTCCACTCATTCAAACACATTTATAAACAAACATATCAAAAACCAAGCACAATGATAAGTAAGAGTTCGGTCTACAAGGAACGGGATATAATTGCTAAGGATCTTAACACACAAGCTAGTTCGAAGACTTTGGTTGATTGGGGTTTGTCAATTCGACAAACAAGCTATTGTTTCAAAATCAAGTAATTAAAAGCATTGGGGAATGAGATCAACTCAACCATGGTAACCAAGCATACTGGGAGCAAATAAAGATAAGAGATAGTAAGGACCACATGTAAGACCAATCTCATGCAATTAAGAATTCAACTCAAACTCCTAAACTTAGATCCCTCATGAGTTTAGCTAAAGGAGATAAATAATCAAAGTTGCAATAAGAAATGACAAACTTAATTCACATTGGGTAGCTATTCCTATCAAGATGAACTAACAAGCAATTCCATATGTAAAAGTATTGGGTAGAACAAACTCACGTGAGTCCAGTGAGTCCAATCATAAACCAGAAAAATATCTAATTCCCGATGAAAATTAACTTATTCCTGACTAGAATGATTTTATTCCTTACTAAAAATATCTAATTCCTGATGAAAATTAACTTATTCCTGACTAGAATGATTTTATTCCAGACAAAAAATATCTAATTCCTGTCGAAAATTAACTTATTCCTGATTAACAAAATCTTATTTCTGATAAAAAAATAATAAAATAAATTACTTAATATTTTTTTACTAATCACTGAGAATATCTAATTACCCACGAAACAAAGAAATGTCTGATTACCCATCAAGTAAGATCCATGTCAGTGATTGAACAAGGACCAAATCAAGTACATAATTCCAGCAATAAGAGCACCACAAGCAGCACCAAAGAGAAGCGACGCAACAAAATATCCTTAGAGGTAGGAATTCAGGTCTTTCATTGATGGGTTGTTCGGGTTTAAATTCGGGTTGCTGGGTTTTGTTGATGACAGAAAAGGGCATGAAACGAGGGGGCGAAGGTGGTAGTGGTGGCCGAGACGGCGGAGACAATGATGAAATAGGTGGGGGATGGGTATGTGCATTATAATTCGGACTCACGTGAAATGGTCTCACACAAAACCTTCTCATTTCATATACTTCCTCCGTTTTTTTAATATTGCACCACTTGCCTTTTAAGGAAATTTCACAAATATTGCACTATATCCATTTTAGGAAAAGAATTATTTGTGTTCACACTATAAATACCTAATATACCCTTGCTTTTCAACACTTACATTTTATTTTGTGTATACTATCACATGGGCAACTTTGTATTTCTACATTTCTCTCTCATCCTTTTTCCCACTACCAAAAAATTTGTGTTAATCTCTTATGGTGAAATAATAAAAGAATGGAGAAAGTAATCAATTTAATTACAAATCAATCACCAATACTTCTTTCAAATTCACTTAATTAACCATGAGGTTAAGCTTCACCCAACCCCTAGAAAGAGGACTAATCACAACTCATGGTGAGTAGCATGCAAAGTAACAAGTTAGGGTTCTATGTAGCTTTAAAATTGAGGAATAGTGTTTTACTAAAGATAAAACTAACTTGCAACAACAACTTAACAAGATCAAGAGAGATTCAAAAAGCTTGCAATAACAAAATAAAATCAGAAAATGAATAGGAAAAAAAGTGATAGAAGTTACTAAGTTGAAGCTTCAATGTTGAGTACAATTGCTGAATATTAGAGAATAAACCTTGAATTCACTTCCACAATGATTAAAATTGATAGTTTCTACACTAAATTATCAACTAATTTAATGAACTAAGTTGCTATCTAAGAGAAATGTTGCTGAAATCTATTCTAAAACTGTTGTCTCTAAAATGAACTAAAGAGGTAGTATTTATACTCCCCGAATTACATAGGTTAATCCGTAAAAAAGAAGCCGGTTTCCCAATTAGGAGCAATCGCTCCAGATAAATTCCGCGCTCGCTCTTAGTAAGGTGCACGCCTGCTCCTCCATCAGATTGTTAGGGATATGTAGAAGCTCTCGCTCCCTAGTGAGTCCGTGCCCGCTCCTAGTAAAATCAGCAAAAGGCAGATTGTGGTGCAAGCTATAGGAGCGACCGCTCCTAATAAGAAGGTGTACGCCCGCTCAACAAGATGGCTGATAGGTAGATTGCACTTCCTCTCCTGCAGGTAGTGGTGCTTATGAGACGAGACAACTCGTGAGCTACTCGAGTTTAACTCGGTCAAAACTCAACTCGAGTGAGCTTGACTCGAACTCGAGATTGACTCGAAATGTTAATGAGTCAAGTCGAGTTGCTCATTACTTGACTTGAAAGCTCGTAAGAAGCTCGAAATCCTTCATATAATATAATATTTACAAAAAATGAAAATATTTTGATAAAAAACTTTTATTTTAGATTATTATTTAATAAATAAACATTATTTACGTACTCTTATCAACATATATATATATATATATATATATATATATATATATATATATATATATATATATATATATATATATATATATATATATATATATATATATATACTTCTCAAATGACAAAATTAAAGAGAATGAAGAGATGTTATAATAAATACGGAGTTTTACTTAAGATGGATCAAATTGCAAGCTACTCGAGATTGACTCGACTGGGTCAAATTTGGTCAAAGCTCGACTCGGTCAAAACTCTGACTCGATAAAGCTCGACTCGATATGTTGACGAGTCGAGTCGAGTCGAGCTAACCCAAACTTGAACTCAACTCGCATCATAAGCACCCCTACCTGCATGAGCGCCCGTTCCTCCAAGAGTGGCCTCTCCCTTCATTCTTTATTGCCTCTAGAGTTATTCCCTGAACTTTCCTTGCTTGTTAAAACTTCACCTATACCTGCAATCATGTACACAAACACAAAAGGAGGCGATAAAGCCAAAATGCAACATTTATATACAAAAAGGGTTAGAAAGAGGAGAAAAGAGGAGAAAAGCTGGTTAAAAACACCACAATAAGTGGTCAAATGAACCACTTATAAAATCCCTACAAGCTAGCCAATTACTTGTCCCTAAGCAATCCACACAGCTCAAACGACCGATGGATTAGTCCGCTCAAAGAAAAGCACATGCATAGATAATAGAATCCTTAAGCAATAAAACTCGAGCATGAGGTATATGCCTATGATCAACCACGATCATGACTAGCCAAGCTAACCTTCCCAAAAATACTCAACTTAGGCCTATTAAACAAATCTTACCGCGTCCTTATCACAAAGTTCCAATTCCTCCTAACGGTAGTGTCTCATGACTCCTCGAAGGAGCCGGAAAAACATATATAAAGCGGGTTTTAAACATTCGATATCTTAATGAAATGTCAACCAACTCCCTCAACCGACAATGGCTTCAGCTAATCTTACTAACAATACACAAAAATTTGAAGATTTCGACACCAAGTTAAGGCATAGAAGAAA